TTCGGCCCCTGCACGGGAGATAGACACAGGTAAAGAGTGGTAGTGGTGGTAGATGGGGGATTGGGGGAGGGAGGGAAGAAGAGGCAGTCATATACTTTTATTGTTAACACTAACAGCGCTATCACCGCTGTTTTCAGATTATCCAAGGCTTCTTTTGCGTTCATTGATCAGATTGTTCAAGTGCTTCTTTTGCGTCTTCTTTCCTTGAGGTTAGTGTCGTTATTTCTCGTTAATTAAACTGTCTGTGTCTCTAAAAGTTATTTTTCTTTGAACTTTTGAAACCCTTAAGTTTTGATCATGTCTCCCCAAAGGCTATTACGCTTCTTTAAAGAAAATAAATTAGGAAATTTGAGTCGTTGTTCATAAGTTTGTATTACTTTATTCTCATAATCAAGTCTTCATCTTATTTTTGTAATTAGGAGCTCAAAAGCGAATAGACTCTCTCATGTGAGGTCTGATCAATGATTTATACAGAGTTTTGTTCGATTTCTTGGGCTCAATGATTCAAATTTAGGCCCATGAAATCCACCATTATGTTGGCATTTTGTCTCGCCTCGTGACTTTGTGACCTTGTGATCATTACTGATGACCGTTCCATTAAGAGCCTTCTCTTCTGTAATCTCGATTTTCCAAATATTTTATACCCATATTTTATATTATTATAACCAAAGTACCCGAATATTACCTATATAGAAACTGACCTTTCATGTCTCCGGACACTTTACTGGTCTGTCTAGGTCCCTCAGATTGATTATACATGTATACGATGGATTATACAAGTATAGTAATAGGCATCTTTCAGTCTCGGGATACTATGGAGTTGCGCTCTGGTTGTCAATCCTGGTGCAGCGTCTGGTGTGACTGATGAGGTCAATCCGAGAATGGCAGTCCATCCCACACCGAGCACAAACGAAGTCCGATTCTGGTCTGTCTTCCTGGCTACCGGCTTTCCTTCTCTGTCTCTTTGTCTCCGATTTCTTGGCAAGAGACTCCTCGAAGTTGGAGAGACCTCTTTGTCCTCCTTGGAGAGACCTCTTTGTCCTCCTTGGAGAGACAAGTATACAATGGACTATACAAATACACGTTGGATTATACAAATATATGATGGATTATACATGTATACGATGGATTATACAAGTCTCTCAGTTTGCTACATTTTCTTCCCAATTTCACATCGTGTGTGAATTTGGCAGTTTGTGAGATTAAAATAATATCATAGTTATTTATATGAATGAAGTTGCTGAGCCACAGCAACCCTCCTCCGTCCCCCTATCCTCCCTACCATTCCCCTTCTCCGTCCTCTCGTCCTCCCCACCATCCGTCCTCCCCACCATCCCTACGTTCCCCTGAACCTCACCAACAAATCCAACATGTTGAAGATTCAACGAGTACAAAACAAAGCACTTCGCTTTGCAGAGGGCCTGACTCTGAGGGACAGGGTGAGAACTGACCTGATCCATGAGACGCTCAACATGAAGCCAATGAACATTAGGCTCAGCTACCTGGCCAGAAGACAGCTGTACCGTATGAAGAACATGTATGTCCCAGACCCAGAAGATCCCTTCGTAGCAGAAAACACCACCAGCGACTACGAGATCCACGAACCACCACACACAACCAGAAGAATCACTCTCCAACAAAAAGTGATCAGACATATCCATGATGAGGCCTTCCCAAGCCCTCAGATACTAAGCGGTCTGCCAGACGATCCAGATGAGTGGCCCATCCCGGACCCAATCTACACCAAATGAAGAATAAAGAAAGAAAGAAAAAAAAATAAAAAAAAAAAAAAAAAAAAAAATAAATAAATAAATAAATAAATAAAAATAATAATAAAAAAAAAAAAAAATATATATATAAATAAATAAAACACCTACAAAAAAAATATAAAACCAAAAAACCATTTGTCGTGGCGTCAGAAGTGTAACTACCCTGATGTTTCTAAGATTAGCCTCCTTCAGCCAACTCCATCGGCTCTAGTGCTTTAGGACACCAACAAGGTCACAAACACTAGCCCCCCCAGCCAATGTACTGACAACCCAACATAACACACACGCAAACAAACAACACATACAAAAATGTCAACCCATGGTGGACAGGCCACCGAACTTTCAAACCTCCTCTCTCTCTACACCCGCATCCTCTTCCTGAATTTCATCTCCCCATCCCTCTACCTCCCCCATCCTTTCCATTCCCTATGGACATCAATCCGATCCCACCATCCACTATCCCCCGTGTCCCCTCGTCCTCCGCACCATTCACCCCGTCCCCTAGTCCTCCCCACCATCCCCCACTCCCCCGTCCCATCGATCTCCCATCCATTCCCCACGCCCCCGACCCCTTGTCCTTCCCACTGTTCCCCTTCCACGTCCCCTCGTCCTTCCCACCATTCCCTCACATGAAAAACACCGTTTTTCCAAAATATATTGTTTTTACCTGCCACTGGTGACATCTATACAGTAGGTATTTTAAAAAACGCGCGTATTCGAATGCAAAGGCGTGTCACAATTTTAAGGCAACCGGTGAAGAACTTTGTGAGATTTAAGATTTTGAACAAATGAACATTTACATTTACATTTGATGAAGAGGATGAGGCGCTGGGCCGGTCCCTGGGGGAGATTTCACTTGGTAAGTGAAATCAGAAGAACGATTTTCGGATTAGTATCCGTCGCTGTTTTACTGATTAGTACCTCATGCTGTTTTACTGATTAGTACCTCATGCTGTTTTACTGATTAGTACCTCTCGCTGTTTTACTGATTAGTACCTCTCGCTGTTTTACTGATTAGTACCCGTCGCTGTTTTACTGATTAGTACCTCTCGCTGTTTTACTGATTAGTACCCGTCGCTGTTTTACTGATTAGTACCCGTCGCTGTTTTACTGATTAGTTCCTCTCGCTGTTTTACTGATTAGTACCTCTCGCTGTTTTACAGATTAGTACCTCTCACTGTTTTACTGATTAGTACCTCTCGCTGTTTTACTGATTAGTACCCGTCGCTGTTTTACTGATTAGTACCTCTCGCTGTTTTACTGATTAGTACCTCTCGCTGTTTTACTGATTAGTACCTCTCGCTGTTTTACTGATTAGTACCCGTCGCTGTTTTACTGATTAGTACCTCTCGCTGTTTTACAGATTAGTACCTCTCTGTTTTACTGATTAGTACCTCTCGCTGTTTTACTGATTAGTACCTCTCACTGTTTTACTGATTCGTTCCTCTCGCTGTTTTACTGATTAGTACCTCTCGCTGTTTTACTCATTAGTACCTCTCGCTGTTTTACTCATTAGTACCTCCCGCTGTTTTACTCATTAGTACCTCCCGCTGTTTTACTCATTAGTACCTCTCGCTGTTTTACTGATTAGTACCTCTCACTGTTTTACTGATTCGTTCCTCCCGCTGTTTTACTGATTAGTACCTCCCGCTGTTTTACTGATTAGTTCCTCCCGCTGTTTTCCTGATTAGTACCTTTGGTAGTGGTGGTGATTTTGATGATGGTGGTGGTGCTGCTGTTTTTTTTCAGGGATATTCCTGTGCGGGCCCCAAGCCTCTGGCTGGCCCACTAAGTGTTGCTTGTTTCTGTTTTACTTGGGCGGAGTGTGAGAATTTATGACTTGTATGGTCGCTTCAGTAAGATTTTGCCATTTGTGTTTTACAACTTCTTCTGCTCTGTTGGATCTAAGTTGAAATCTTAATGGTTTGTAATTGTGCACTGTGTTAGATAATGTTCCAGTGGTCTGTCGGGCATTTCTCCTCAATGTTGACATTTCCTCTCATCTTCTGGAACCTGTAAGCGTATTTCCCATGCACATGGGTATCCAAGCCTGATGCGATGTAAGTGTACTTCTGTTGTTCGACTGCTCCCAGGTGCTGCTGCTGATAGTGGTGGTGGTGGTGGTAGTGGTGGTAATGGTGGTGGTAATGGTGGTGGTGGTGGTGTTGATGGTGGTGGTGCTGTTGATAGTGGTGGTGGTTGTTATGGACCCGAGCCCAGCGTCGTAACACGGAGCAGTGAAGTCCATGCCATCTGTGAGTCAGCTCCCGAAACCCCCTCCAAATGGACGACGCCATCTAGAGAGGACGAGATATACAGGCCACAAGGGCTAGTTTCCCGTCCTGATCAGCTCATAACACTGCCGCTGCTGACCTCTGGTGAGGTGACGCTTAGACAGCAGCGCCATCTATGGAGTGGATAGGTGGGCGTTTGTGTCTAAACCCGTAAGTGAGGTGCCCCATAGTGTCCCTATTACTGATGACGTGTCTGATTACAGAGTCGACCTGGGACTGCTGTAATGGAAGTTGGATCAGTCTACCCAAGGCAGCCGTCTCGTCTCCAAGTATTTGCTGCAGCAGCTGTGTGTCACCCCCCCGGATGAACACTGTGGTGTTAGCCTGTCCGTGACATGGCAGCTGAGGGATTGTCGTACCCGGGACTGACTGGTGGAGACGCTTAACCACTGGGGTGTTGCGGCGAGGAGAGTGGTCTGTGGGATCACACGAGGCTCCTGACTAGGGCTCGCTACCCTAGTATCGGCCGTGGAGTGGCCTAACCAGCGTCGCTGATTGGAACCTGCCAGCTACCTGCTGGACTTGTGGTTGACAGCCTCCACGACGGTACCCCCAGTGGAACTGCGATTTGGCTGGCCTGTGGCCAGGGTAGACTCAAGAGAATCGAAGGATTCGTCGTGAGGCCACAAGAGTACCAAGACTTTAGCATCGACGAGCACCGTGGAACACTCCGCGTCTTCAGAAGAAGACTACGTTGTACATTCTAGTGTTTATACCCCCCCCCCCCCCCCCGTGTAATCTTTTATATAGTATTTATGGTGATGGTGACAATTATATTATTAAGTTTTTGCCTTTGTCTCCCATCCCCATTTATTTTACTTGCGTTACGGATCACATCCCTTGAAAGCCACTACTAGCTTGGGGCCGGATACCCTACCCCTAACAACATCAGAGAAAGAACCCGGTTGCGACCCGAGAGGGCCGTAACAGTGGTGCT